TCCAGAGTGCAAACATCCCTTTCATATCTTTCAGCAATGTATAATAACAGTTCTATATGGTAGTATATTGTTTAATTTCAGCATGCATCTAACGAGACCAGTCCTAATTGTCACTCAGTGTTCTCTGTAAAGCAGCAAGAGGAAACAGACCATTTCAGTTCACGGCTGTAGGTTTGTAAAGCAGAATTGCTCATACTGAGCGTTTCCTAGTTGTTTTGTTTTGTTTTCTTAGCATTCAGGGTAACACGCATAGCTGATCCTTCCTGCAGCTAGAAGATCCAGGAAGAAAGACCCTGTTTTCACTTCCTTTCAACTAACAGTTACCAAAAGTAAGACTTGCATTCAAAAAGCAGTATCTCTGAACCTGCAAGCGAGATTCGGGTATTTTCATCTGCCCATTTTAAGAAACAATTTATCCCCTGGACATCACTGGAGAGAAGTGGTTTCACAGGTACTCTTCGTAGAAGGGCTTGAAACTGATAGGCCTGCATCATACTGAGTCTGAAAAAGACAGTACTGTCCCCTTCTTACACCTCAAATGAAGCCAGTCAAGGTGTTCAGATAAGAAATAGCATCCCCTCACTGCTCATTTCTCGCCTGTGCTGTTGCCTGACACTGGCGGGTCCCTGGGGTAGCTGGGGTACATACAGTTTGACCATGCATTAGTTTGTTACAGAGCTTAGCTTGGCTGGAAATTTTGATAATTATTTTCTGAAGAAAGAAAGTTGTGCGGGAAGAGGTACAGAAACACTCTGGAGAATGTAATCCCATGGATTTAAAAAGTACAGTTTTATGGCAGTCCTGAAATTTCCATCCCTCTGAACTATTCTGCAACGAATAAATGTTCTGTTATTTCTGGGGGAAAGGGAACGGTTGGTTTCATGGTGCTTCTATAGACTTTAAAGTATCAGGCAGCTTTTCTCTTCTTTACAATATTCCAGATTTGATTTTCAAGCCAAGGGGTTTGCAAATGCAGATAGCGTTGCTTGTATCAGAACTGGAGGCTGAAAAGAGATCTCAGCTTTTACAGTGTTCTGGGGAGAGACAGTGCAGCTGTGAGGGGCTCAGCAGCACTGTCTAAGAGTCCCACACTCCATTCAGCCCAATGTATCATCCCTTTTGTGGAATTTTTTCCTCCACATTAATTAGCTGTCAATACAGCTCTACAACTCTACATTATTTTTTGGTTTCCACTCCTTTCACCGCTTTCAGATCAGAAAGTAGAACAATGTCCTCAGATTTTTGATCTTTCCTTCAGGAAATCGCGTTGGCCATTTTTCTGCATTTTTTCTCCCTCCTCTTCCTCCTACTAGCCCCCTTCTCCCACTGCCCTGCACATTCCCACAGTGTTGTTCTTCTGTGGGACCCAGTGTTTCCAAACTTGGGGGCTTTTACTGCTGCCTGGGTTTGCACCACGCTTACTGGATTGCATGACCTTGCAAAACTGTCAGCCCTTGTATATCTTGTGTTTATCACCCTATGCTATCAATATGCTCATTCATCTTCTTTGGCAGAACAGCTCCATCTTCTGTTTTATTTCGTTTTCTGGAAGTGCAAGCTAGATAAGTTGTGCTCAGAAAAAGGTCTCTGCTGTTCTTGCTTCCCATCTCTTCAGCTTGCCAGTTTTGAACCTGGTAGGTTCAGACTGCTCTACTCTGAATTGCTGACAATCTACTCCAAAGAGTTGCTTCTCCCATAGAAAGAAGTCCAAGATGCCATAAAGCTGAAACTTTCCAATTTTTTACAGACAGCAGCATTCATCAGACTGCCTGCAATATCCAATTTTTTTCTTGCCCCATTCTTGATATATGGGAACTCCAGGAGCCAGAAGTTTTCCCCTCAGGTCACTGAGTCATCCTTTGCTGTTGGTTGTTTTTCATCTTTCCACAGTTTGCTCCTCCTCCCTGCCTAGTAGGGACAGTACTCTGGCATTCACAGAATCACAGAATGGTCAGGGTTGGAAGGGACCTCTGGAGATCATGTAGTCCAACCCCCCTGCCAGAGCAGGGTCACCTACAGCAGGTTGCACAGGACGGCGTCCAGGCAGATTTTGAATGTCTCCAGAGTGGGAGACTCCACAACCTCTCTGGGCAGCCTGTTCCAGTGCTCCACCACACTCAAAGTAAAGAAGTTCCTCCTCATGTTAAGATGGAACTTCCTATGTTCTCCATCTTTCATTTGTTTTCATCATCATAGGCTTCACCTTTGCTCCAGAGGGCCAACATTTTATGTAATGTCAAAGCTTGATCACAGCTGTCTTGGCATCAGGGCCCTTGCTATCAAGCCACCCGGCATAACCAATACTTACCTTCCTTCAGTTCTCCCTCTTGATTCTTGGTGGTGACAGGGGTATCGTTAGGCTGCTCTGTTTTCTTTTCCCTATTTTTCTGCCTACTCAGATAACATCTTGCAAGTTTCCCTCCTCACCCTGCCGTGTCTTGGTTTTCCTTCTTCTCATTTCATTTTGAGGATCTGCTTCGTTTTCTGCCTGTCTTGCTCTGCTTTCCCCAGGTGACAGGCTATCACCAGCAGCGATATCTCCTCTGAGATGTCCCTGCAGTATCAGCCAAGCCCTGGGTGGATTACTGGAGCATTTCCAGGGAGGCAGAACAAGAGTGAACAATGAGCAGTGGCTCTGCTGCCTCAGGTGCAAGGAGCAAAAGCCCTGTCTCTGAGGAGCTCTTGCTTCTTGGCACGAAGGGTGTCACTCGTCTTTGGTGGTGCAATGGGACTCCTTGAAGTCCAGGCCAGTGAGTAGGGTATGTTATGAAACGGATGTGTGTGGCCTCACATACGGGTAACTCTAGTTGGCAAAATAACATTAAAATACTTTCCATTTGGAGATGGAATTTATAGTAGCCAGATGAGCTGCGGAACAAACATCTCTTGTGCTTCTGCTGCTGTGTTTGTGTGAGCCTGAAGGCTAACAAACAGGCAGGGAGCTCTGGCCCGCTCAGTCGGGTAACATAATAGTTTCCACTAACGATGAAGTTCGAACTGGTGGAACTTTCACAACACCAAAAGAACGCATCAAAAAAATAAACCTTCGTTTCCTCTCACCCCTCCCTGTCTGTCCTTCAACCTGCACAAAGACTGCAAACCACTGTGTAAATAATTACAGAAACATCTTTTCTGAGGGGGGAAACTCTGGAAAAGGCCATTAGAATAGGGGCTGGGCTTTTAAAAATTATGTCACGAGTGTCCATGTGTCTGTTCTTATAGGCAGGTGTAGCAGAAGGCTTGGCTGGTTGGGGGGCGGGGGGGAGCGACCTCTTCCAATTAGTTCAAAAGGTATACCAAAAGGAAAATGCAGATTGAAGAATCTGTATATCCTGTTCACAGTAATCTAGCTTACAAGTCTGAAATCACAAACTCTTTTTGCTGAAAAATATGGGTAGGGATCTGTTTTAGGCAGCTTGGGATTTTCCTGATGTGTTTTCCCTTCCCCAGGGGAGGGATTTATTACATCTAATTATACATTTGAGATGATTGCTTTGGGGTAATGACCGACATTATCACTGGCGGCAAATATTTACAATGTAAGTTAAAAAACATCATGGATATTTAGTCAGTGTGGTTCTGCGTTACCATCATCTGTTGTAAAATGCTGATGTATCTTGCAACAGTCCCTCACTAGGCTGTTCAATTGATAAGGGGGTCTTGCACAGCCCTTTGGAAAGGAAGTGACTCCATTTCTATCATATCCTCGGTCATTTGCAACAAGTATTATTCAAGCCATTTAAAAATGTAGACCGTTTTCTTAATTTGGTATCTTACTAAAAAGTTAAATCCCATTCTCATGACTTTTAGCAACAAGCTCAGGAGCATTAGAGGCTTGCTGGCTGTCTCTTCTTCTTCTGATTTGATATAAACTATTCCTGTCCGTCTCAACCCTTCTTTTTTTTTTGGGGGGTTGTTAACCATCTCTGGTGGTGGCTGCTCCAGCTCTCCCTTTAGCTGGAAGGGACAGTCTGTATCGAATGTCCCAGCTAATCTCACTGGTATGCTCTCCTCTTTCATTCTCTCCGTGGAAAGGAGAACAAACTGAAAACTGGATGTCTGTTTGCTACCGGGATATTTGTATGACCCGTCTCTGGGATGAGGCAGTAGGAGTGAGGCTGACTCCTTAATTTTTACTGACCAAATAATAAAGACCGCTTCCTGTCATACTCCCTAGATCATGCAGAAGCCCAGTGTGTCAACTGATGTAAGCCTTCTCAGAAATTCTTTCATTATCCCCAGGAAATGGGATTGTGTTACAGGGATTTTTCTATGGGATGTATCAGTATGAAGACTTTAATACGAGTATTCAAAGATATTTCAGATCAAGCAATGATAACCCATGTGCGGGAAGGGCACACACCAGTTTTGACTCCCATTAAGGTTTTCATTATTATTCGGAAAGATATAAGCAATTTCAATCTATAGTGAGAGATTTTCATTCATTTCATGTAGTAAATGGCCTCCTAAAAACAAACTTTAAACCTGTGTTTAAATATGAAACAGTTTAAGAACATTCCCTTGAATCTTACAGTCAGGCTTAGACTCACAGAAATGAATAGTGGAAAGTGAGACTGAAAATCATCTGATGCCAAGAAGGTCAGCACTGAAAATAAGAAACTTATTTCAGTCCCTTGTCTTCTGAGCTATATAGGCATTTCTTTATATTGTCATAATACATATTTTTATAAACAAAACAACTTGCTAACTTTCTTTTCTTTCTTTCCTGTGGGTTTTGGTTGTTGCTTTATGTAGAGTACACTAATGGAAAAAATATGTTCAATAAAAAATGTGATAGATATTTCATATAAAAAACATCTGGACTGCCAAATATGTATCTATCTCCCTCGCAGCAAAAGAAAGTTGTCAGTAACTGAGATCCAGACCACAAAGACAGTACTCCCAGTTAAATCAGTGCACGTTAAATGCCTAAATAAAAATTTTAGTCTAGCAGCCCTAATCGTTATGATTTCTAAATCGATGATGACTCTTTCCAACAGCCATTCAAGAAAAGCGCTTTAAGAAGCAAGTTGGCCAAACGATAAAAGAAGACAATGTACCTAACAAGACTGCTGTACAAGAAGGTGGACTTCTACTAGAAGTGAGTGAAAAAATGCTGTCTTTTCTGGCTCTAACTTATACAGTTTGATGATATATTCAGGTTAATGCTTTGTGGCAACTTTCAACAAATGATCGGTCTTGGAGTGGGTGATTCAACAGTCACACTTGTGAGCACTTCTTGCAAGAGCAAAACGGGCAGTCGTGATAGTCCCAGTCAGTCTCCGTTTGGACACCTGTACCTTACACCTGATGTCCTCAAAATCACCGGTGAACTTCAGTGAGCCAGTTCACAGTTCTTTTTCACTTGGAGTGATAGAAGAGCTTTATTTCACTTGGTCCATATTTTGATGGTGCCAACAGTAGCTTGCCTGGTTTCTGATCTGAGTTGAGAGCATTCTGGGATATTATTATTTATCCTACGTCCTCAACTCTGTGCTCTGAGGGAAGCTGTGTATGCAGAAGTTATTTCTTCTATGTATTTTTATCCACTTTAGGATAACTTTATATTGGCAGAGCAGCCTAAAGGGGCCATACTGTTACTGAGAATTAGATCCATTAGTCTAGATGAAGAATTAATACTGCTGTGAACTACTGAACCAGCTAGAGCACGGCAGTCCATCCCAGATACATCTGCATTTCAAACACATGATGTAATAATGCCTTTTATACACTGAGGTCCTTGGAAATTCCTATGTGATTAAGAGTACATATGTATAGTTGTTTTGGATAGGATAATATTCATGGTATAAAAATTGTGTTTTAATGACCGCTCTGAGATACATGTAAATGTAAATTAAATAGTAGCCTCCAGCAAGTGAATGCTGTATACTAATAAAGAAAAAAGACATTTTATTATGGGATCCAATATCGTAACTCATTCAAGTCTGTGGAATGGAAACTGGCACCCTGCTTTCCTTCCTCTTAATACTTTAGAAGATTTTTATTTTGTATTACAAAGCAAGTAACGCAGAGGCATCTGATTAGTTAGTACTAGTGCCAAAATGAGGTGTTCGACTGTCACGTATTATTTGCAATCATTGCCATTCTCAATGACTAGGGAGTACAGGGTGTGCAATAAATAATAAATAGGCTGAGTATCTAATTTTTAATGAGGCTCTCCTATCTTTAGTTTGTGTTTTGTTGGGTGTATATTACATGCCCACAAGTTGTAATCATTAAGGATCTTCAAACAGTAGCCCTACTGCTATGAGTACATGGAGAGAACACTGATATGCAATTTCAGGTAGATTACAAGAGACTAATACTATTGAATATGCTAATGATCTGCTTATTACAAGGTATATAGGAGTCACATTTTTTTTGAAGACATGGGAAATTTTTTTTAAATCCTGGATGATACTTTATGTGGATCATTAACTAGATGATTAAGTGCATGTTAATATGAATGTATTCACCAGGCTTCATTTATGGGCATGCCAGACCTAGAATAAGAGGGTGAATTTTCCTTAGGTCTTGCTGGGAATGTTTCCTGGGGACTGAGTTTGGCTCAGATGCTCATTCAATGGCCGTAGCATGTGAAGAAAAGTGGGTGGTTTTTTTTGTTGTTCAACCAAATACACCATGTTGGTTATTAGGGACTATGGGGTTTTAACTAAATAGTCACATTTGTGATTCCTTCCAAGGAGAAGCAAACAATCTTGCTTTGTATATTGACTTGCGAATCTGGCCATTTTATTGGCTCTCAAAAGATATTTTTCAGCTGTCAAAAGCCGCTTTCCTTCTCGTGACACCACCTTGCACTGTGCAACCTCTCCTAGATTCTTTATATAATACAAACCAGAATAATTTGAATCACCAAAATATGTGTGAATAACACTGTCCCTGACTGCAATGTTAATGGAAAACCAGGGATAACTGCTTACTTTTTTTTTTCCTAGTGGATATGATCACTGTGCTTTATATATAAATAGAAACATGGAATAATAAGAACTCTAATCACTGGTAAATAATGTATCTGTGACTCTCCAGTTTTGGAATAATGCAGCACTTCCCCTTTCAGCTTAAAAGAAAACAGTGGAATTAGGCTGTCTTCAAAGTATGTTTAAAATGTTTTTTATTTCTAAAGGCCTCTGCCACAACATGTGTTTTTTATTTAAGATTTTATAGAGATTTTTTACAGCTATAATCAAATAGCTTTCATCAGCAATAACAGAATAAACAATGATACCAGTTTATCAAAGACTTTTTAGTGGAGCACAGCAGGTATCTAAATAAATAATTTCTTCCAGTGTTTTAAGTTTTAAGATCACTTCTTCTGGATAAGACAGCCTTTTCTTGCCATCTTTCTGTTTCCCTTTGGAGGGAAGACAGACAAAGCTCCAAGATCCAAAGTCCAATTTTATTAATGGTGTTTTTCAGTATACCCCAGTCTTGTAATCTTTGCTTTCCTTGGAGACTTCAGAATCCAACAATTTGACTGCAGTAATGGTTTTTAACTTTGCACTTTCAAAATATTTTCCAAGACAGGTGGTATTGCAACCCTTGTGTCACATGCCTTCTGGCAGAAAAGGGCCACATACAGTTTCTGAAGCCTGTTGCTGAATACTTAAGGAACATTGGGCCAAACTCATAACCAGAAAAGTGGGAAAATAAATTGTATTGGCAGTCAATAAATCCAGACAGAATTTATTGGGTGATGGGGTGGAGAAACACAATAAAATGGTGACTTGGAAAAATAAGAATGAATCACTGGTGGGTATCTAGGCAATAGCCTTGATTGCAATAATCATCTCATGGCAGTTAGCCACCTCCCACTCTTGCCCCCAGGACATGCATTCACAGTCTCAAGTCCAGACTCAGAGTCTATGCTGTTGTGCAGGTAATTTCTCATCCCAAATGTATGTGTAATTTCCATGTGTTATACTACCCTATCCGAAGAATTAAACGTCCATTGTCAAGAGGGTGGCCCTTTCTGGACTTGTTTTCTCAATGACATGCTGTCAGGCAGTGGATCCATCATCATCACTGACACTGCTGCTTGCATAATCATCACACATAAACTAAGAAGCGCCCTGCTAAAATTGTCACTTGGACTTCATGGACGACCCCACAGTTGCTCCTGCAGTTGTGTCCTCCTCATTATGGAAGTATCACCGATTTTCAAATTTCTGTCTCAACCCTTGCTGCTGTAAGACATATCTTGATGGTCTTTCCTTCCCTCCTTCTTTGTTTTGTCTGTTGGTTTTCTATTCCACTGTTGTAGGCTGCAGCACGGGATTTAGTGTATCTGTCTCCAGATGTACTGGACATAATTCTTTTCAGGTGTGAAAATAGTGTTTTATATCCAAAATGTCACAAAAATTAAAATGAAATCTGGGGGAACCAGGCAGCTCTCAAACAGATGCTAATGGAGTAAGACTGCCTGGTTCTGTCATGCCCCATCTCACTGATGAATACTGATAAAGGCCAGATCTGGCCTGTTTTGTCATTTCCATGTTCACCAGCAGCTCACCCTCTTTCAGGGAAGGTCCATGTTGTTTTCAAGATATTCCAAGCCACTCTTTTGCCCAGTTCACAGACAGATTCCCACAGAAGTCCTCTGCTCTTTAGGCTTCAGGGCACAAGAATCACATTTCTGTGATTTCGTCTTATGTTTTTCTTTATGGCTGCACTGAAGACGCCAGTCATCTTACCATCCTGGTATTTCTTATTCAGCCACATTTACTCTTCCTGAGCAGAGATAGTTACCTATACATGCCTGAGTTGTTATCTTTTTCCTGCTAAAAACAAATAATGACATATGCCTGAATAAAAAGGTATTGGATTTGGTTGCTCTTTCACTGTAAAACCCATGCAAAGGAGCAAGAAATGCAAGGGCCTTCCAGGCATAATTTGAATTACAACCCGGAAGGGTGGCTGCAGGCTCAATATGTCTGCGTGCTGAAAAGAAAGAACCCATAGTCTATTTTCTGTATGTAGTCCGGAGTGATAACAGGCTCCCTTATGAAAGCGTACACAACATTGCTCAGATGCTGAAGTCACCTGCTCTTTCAGTGGGAACATCTGCACCTTCCTGGTTCTGCAGCCCACCTCACCCTTCCAGAGCATCTGGTGGTAACTACGCCAATCTTTATTCATTTTAGCATGTCAGGAGATGATGCCCAGGAGACGCGTGCACTTAGTGTAGATGCTTAGCAGCAGGCTGCTGAATGCTTTGGAATCTCCTCGTGCATATGAAAGAGACTTGGTTTCTTCCAGCCAAACACAGGACAGACCTCTTAGTTTTCACCAATGGCAGAAAGAGCAAATTACTGACATTTTGTATGTTAATCTATGGCAAAGGTCTCTTTCTCCACCCTTCCTAAACAGTACTACAATTACAACGTACTTATTTAAATTTTTAGACGAAGACTGTCAGAAGCCTGGCATCTTAAAAAAATATCTTGAAGTCACAGGCATATGGTCTTTTATTTAAAAAGAAAAAGAAATCACTTCCTCAAAAACATGTCTGTCCTCAGAAGTGGAGAAAAACAGTGAAAGTTAGTTTTGGTGGTGAGGCCCTTATAATTCTCCCTTGGTATCAGTAATCTTAACTTCATCACATTAACCACTCAGTCATCTAAAGTTGGATTTTTCAAACTGAGCTTCTGTGTTTTGTAGGCATACTTTTGTTCTACCATTTAGCAGATGAATTTTGCTGGCTTGAGTTGTAAGTAACATGTTGTAAGTGAGGCAATTCAGGTATCTAGCTACCGAACCACCATCATTTGTGCTTGGAATTGACTGTTGGTGCAAAGTGATAGCATAATCAGGTATAGGCATTTTATCACACAGGCAAGTCCTTTATATATTATTTCTTAATTCCATATAACGGATTTGGGCACTATTGTGAATAGAAAATTTGGTTCTTGCTTGGTAGTTCCCAGTGAGGCTTTTCCATTAGTTTTAATATCAAATAGAGCCCAAGTCTTCTTAATCAAAACCAATGAAAGTCAGACCTTTTATTTAAGTAAAGGATTCAGGATTTGATACAATGCTAGCTTGAAGCATATTATTTAACATTGTCATTACCTTAAAAGT